GGGGGGGGGGGGGAGCGGGACGCTGGGGCGGACAGTGGGAGGGAAAGCGTGGTGGTCACGCTGGCCGTGAGCGGGCCAGAATGCGCCGGCGGAGGGTGTGCTGGGCAGCCCTGCTCTAGAGCGGGAGAGACCCGGTCAGTTACAGCCATGTCACCGGTACTGTGGGCGGGAGAAGTAAGCTGGGGGACGAGTCAGGTCTGCAAAGGAGGCTATGAATAACGGCTGCTTCATGGCGTTGTTCTGAGAATTCGATGTGGTGTCATTTGGAAAAAGAGGCAAGTGCCAGGTACTACCCGCCGGAAAAGTGATAGGTAGATGTTGTTATTTAGAAGATACTTTGTTCTTTTCCTTGGGTGATTTACATAAGCCTCCCAATTATCTCGTGATAGCGGTATGAGCATCTGCATTAAACACACGTTAAGCAGAAAGCAGATCTGAGTCTCAGGGTGGTGAGGTGGTCCTGAGCTTGAGCGCCGGTGACTTCTCCAGGCTCACCCGGATTGTGACAGAGCCAGGAGTCGAAAAGTCGTTCATACCGTTCAGTCATCAGAAGAAACTTATCAAGAGTCCCTTTTGAGAAACTGCAGCCCGCCAGAAAGTAGTAATTTTTAAAACTTTGCCATAAAGCACCACACCCTTTTTATTGGGCATTCTGCGGGTTCTCTAACTCAAGGGGTAAACAGTTTTGCTAGGAAAATAGATAAAGGATGCAGCCTGTGTCCCTTTTTATTACTGTTAATTTTAATGAAGTAGTGTCATCCTATGCTGTACTTCAATCATCTGTTTTTCATTTTTTGTTTCTATTTAATTAAATCAATTTACGTCAATAGACAAAATTATTTTTACCAAATGAGAGTGGTAGGTTTAAGCCCCATGGTCATTTCAGACTGGTAGATGGACAGATGGTGTTTCCACAGGGTGTTTCCCTTGCCTTTTCAAGGGCTAAAGGGATGCTGTAGGGAGGCTGCTTCTCAGCTGGGCTGCTGATGTGATTGGGAGGTGAATGTAGGAACTGTAAGGCAGGCCAGGTGTCCTGACAGTGTCCTTTTTCTGTCCCCCCAGCTGAATCTTCAGTCCTCTGCACCTTCCTAAGCGCTACAGAAAATGAACATATCTGAGGTCAGCTCTTTATTCATTTCCCACTCTGTGGTGTGATGGATTTAACTCTTGATTTCAGATTGCTCTCAGCCTGTTTTATACAGTCTTTTTGTGTGTGTGTGTTACGCGGGCCTCTCACTGTTGTGGCCTCTCCCGTTGCGGAGCACAGGCTCCGGACGCGCAGGCTCAGCGGCCATGGCTCAAGGACCCAGCCGCTCTGCGCACGTGGGATCTTCCCGGACCCGGGCACGAACCCGTGTCCCCTGCATCAGCAGGCGGACTCTCAACCACTGCGCCACCAGGGAAGCCCCTGATTTATACAGTCTTTATCAATGTTAGTTATTTTCCTTTTATGATTAGTTTGCTAAGATTTTACTTGAGTCAGGAATGTACACTCAGTTATATTGAGTTATACTGAGCACCTTTTTGTATGTATTGTAGTAAAGGTATAGCTTATTTTCTTTAATCTGCAAATTTTAGAGGTAGCTGAAATGGATTTTAGAATATTAACTTACTCTTGAATTCCTGTATGGATGCTACTTGCTAATGGGTTTTAGTTTTTTGCTTTTGATTTTATATACTAAATAGTGTGATTTGTAAATAAGCATATTTTTTATTTCTTTTTATCTCTATGCACTTTAATTTCTTTTTCAGTCAGGCTGGGATTTAATGTGGAAGAATTCATTTATTCACTGCTAAGTATGATGTTAGTCATATGCCTTAATAGCTTCTCATTGTCAGATCTTTTCTTCCTGTTCCTAGTGCTATAAAGTTAGTATCATTTCTTCCTTAAAAATTCACACTGAGAATTCACCACAGAAACAATGTGGACCTGAAGTTTTCTTTGTCAGAATTTGTTTTATTAATAACAATTTTATTGAGGTACAATTCTTGTACCAAAAATTCACCCTTTTAATTTGTACAGTTCATTGCTTTTTTTTAATATGTTCACAGAGATGTGGAATTATCACCACTATTTAATTTTAGAATAATTTCATCACCCTCAAAAGAAACACTGTACTCTTTAGTAGTCACTCTCCATTCCT